AGTTTGAATCAAATTGTTATTGTTAGCACAACAAAAGGGGGAAATAGTTAAATATGTAATTGGAGAGTAATCCTGTTAACTCTATTTTATTGCAATGAAAGTTAAAGATTCTAATGTTAATTTGCTTTGACTCTTCATTGTGGCTTTTGGAAAGTAGCCCCCCTGGGGGCCTTGGCCTGGAACATGTTGTGTCCTCCTATTACAGGACTTACTAATTCCTGAAGAAAGTGAAGTCACAGGAATTTATCACTGTTGTGGAAAATGAAGCAGGAAAATTGACATTTTCTACTGATTAAGAGTTCACAATATTCTATAATCTAAAATAAGGCATTGGGGATTGGATGATAGAAATTATCTGAAAGGATGGGGGAATGCCTACGTTTCCCTCACTGTAATTAAATATGGTAATGCTTAGGAAAATGGCGTTTAGTAATTTTGTCTATTCAATTAAAAAAATATCTCCATAGACAAGAGATGGGCAACAGGCAGTTCATGGCCTCCCCATGCCTTATTTTTCATTGATTTATTTACTACAGTCCCCAGAGCCACTAGAGATCAATGTGCCAAACATGGTGTCAGGCTGTCCAATAACAGGAGTGGCACACGTTTTGATTCCCCCCCCCCTACAAACTGAGAATAGAACAGGATTAATATATTTATTTGACACTAAAAAAGAAATTAAAAACAAAAATTAAAAAGGAAAAAAACAGTGTGTCCCTCTGATGAAATAATCAGTCACTTCATTATCATTAATCATATAGATCTTGGCTACCAGAGTAGGAAGTTTCTCCACAACTGTAAAATTGCTGCCTACCCTTCTTTAGACGGAGGCAGTAGAAGATCAATACTTTGCTTTAATAAAACATTAAAAACAAAAAACAAACATATAAAACTAAAACATTATAATTGGCATTATAATGGAACATAAAATAAAATAGGTACTTTATAATTTATACATTTACGTCAATCTTTTTTTGGGGGTAGAGATTTTTCATATTAAATGGATACTAGCCACATTTATAAATAAAAATATGCCTCATCCTAAAGATTCAAAAATCATCACATAAACATACAAAATATGGAAATCCCATGCCTGTAACAATATTCTGTGAACAGTTGCACAGCATTCTGTGAAACTATCTATTTCAAAAATTACATAGTTTCTGTTCCAAGAAACATTTCAACAGATGCTAGAAACAATATATCAAAGGCAGAGCACACCTGTCACTCTTTGCAGTAGCCACTGTCTTGCTTCCGGGTATGTCCTGTAGGCTTTGCTGAATGACAAGCTGCATAGGGATGTCATCCTCAGCTTCCTCATCATGCATTTTTGTGGTATCATACAGGTTAAAATCTTAAATTACAGAACGAGGTGGGGTTAAATGTTATGTTGCTTCTTCCAGAAATATCAGTAGAGACATAGAAATATATAATGACAAACAAAAGCAAATAATTCTTAACCGTCTTGTCTCAATCTCTCTCTTTTTGAGCATTAACTTGACAGACACCAAAACTATCAGTATCACACTAGGCAGACCAGGTTATCAATTTGACTTGTTTTTGTTCATCTTTCTGAGCACATGCCTGTGCCAAGGAACCCAGAGTTTGAGGGCTCCATTCTTCCTCATGCTTCCTTCTCCTATCTTTACTGCTCCCATCCTTGCTAAGCTCAACATGTTCTTACTGATCTCTTTTGCAATGCCCTTCCTCACTCCGCTCATATTTGCTGTATGTCAAGAAAGTGCTGGGTCATGCACATTAAAAAGCAACAGTTCAGCTGAAAGCTGCTCAGAGATGCAGAACATCTGGATTTTATTAACAAATACGGTAATATCATTTGCGATGCGGATGCTTCCTTGTAAAAAATCACTGGCATTTGATTTAATAGTCTCTTTCTGTTCAGGAAACATTGTTGTACATTAAAAATGGCTTACAGCATAATAACAGAATTAGTGAGAGAATTAAGCCAAAGTGGAGCATTTTAACTAGCATTGTTTTCAGTTATTTTCCCCCATTATAATCAATGGTATTGAGATATATTTTCATTTGGCTGCATCAAAATAAATGCACAAATACTTGCATAAATATTGAAAAAGTGTTAAAAATTATTAAGGAAAGTTTATAGGATACAGGAAAATCACAAAACACTTTTTCACTTTGGAATGCTAACACATAAAAAGCAAAATATGCAACTGCAAACACCCGCACACACACTTGTGTTACTCCTGGAATAGTAAAAAACAACATTCCAGAAATGCCAAGTTTAACTTTTATTATTTAGAAATAGGCTAGGAAGCTAAGCTTTGGGAGAACTGACATTTTATAATGACAACACACATTTTCCTCACCTTTCTCCCACATTTGAAACACAGATTGCTCACTCTAAGCAAGTGTCAAAACCAAAATGTGAAGTTTGTTGTATTGAAAAATGATCCTGGGCTTATTGCATCATTGCAGCCATTAATAACTCACTATAAATATCTGACTGTAAGACATTCCCTCTTGCAGACAAGATATATGGATTAAATGTAGGTCAGCAAATAAACCACATGTATGAATAACAAAAAGTATCCAAAGAACAGGCATTTTAAAATCAGATTGTAATAACTGTGAAGAAAATTTAATTCATTTCAGTAAATTCCTAAATGCACAACAAATTTCTTTTGTGTCCAATCACACTTGGCCAATAAAGAATTCTATTCTATTCATATAATTAAAGCAGCAGCAAGAACCTGGGAAGTTATTCAGAACCAGATAACTAGTTGTATATAGAAAAACATGAAGGACATTGATTCATTCATTATGAGCCATGAAGTCAATGTTTACTCTTAGCAATAGCACTTAGACTTATATACTGCTTCATAGGGCTTTACAGCCCTGTGTAGAGGATTGCATATGAACTGATTTTGGGGAGAGAGTTTAGTTTGAGTGTTAGCAAATCTCATATACACATCATATCAGAAACCAAAAAGTGTATTTGCAACAACAGAATCCAGGTATTATTCTTCATTAAAATTGACCAAAACTATGGAAACCAGATGTACATCTCTGGTACTAGAAGCCATTACTGTATAAATAGGAGGTGCACTTGAATCAATGAAGAAGTGTTCAGAAAACACCAATTTTGCAGAGAACCTCTTGGATATTCTCTCAATCACAGAACTTGGAGAGCAAGTTTATTTTCCATTAAATAGTTCTACTCTTCCCCTGCACTCCAGTTAAGTATGTTGCAAAAACAAGGCTACTGTGCTAATACAGTCCATAAATAAAAATGGACTTCTTGCTTTTTCTGTAATGCCTTCTAGTTTTAGACTGTAATGATACCTCAACACACAACACATATTATCGATTATTCTACCACAACAACTCTTCTACAATATGATCAAGAACTAATTCCAGCTCCCGGGATAAAGATATGTGGCGTCCACACATCAGTAGCAAATTGGAATGCTTTTATATTAAAAAAAACAAACATACACACAGAAGATGTGGAAACATGGTTGCAAAAGAATCGTCCACTGAGGATATTCTGTCCAGCCGGAGATGAAGAATTAACTATTTTAATCTAATCCACCTTCCAGAGTCTCTCACTCTCCAAAAAAGTAGACTTGTCCAGAAAGCAGAAATCAACACAGACTAAATCAAATATTTAGATATTCAAATGTTAAGAGTTGAATGGAAGCAACAACATTTTTGAGCAAAAGGAAATTTATTTTTCAACAACTTCAAAATGAATTATGATGGACTAAATAAGATATTTTGCATATTATACACTTTACTTATAAAAGAACAGAAGAAAAAACATCAATAAACAAGAATGGGTTCAGTTTATTGTAAAATATTGTTACCAGTTTGAAAGTCTACATATTTAGAAAATCCTTTGTTCTAGGGAAAGATATGAATATGGAGTAATTAGTCTCATTTGGTTTGAGTTCTATATAATTAGTCATCCAGCTGACAAAGTAGAGCAACTCCTCGCTTGATCCAATGCTGGACTGGCTGGTCAGTTAACAACTTCATTGCAATGACAAAGTTAGTTGAATGCCCAGTTGTTGAAAGGACTCCTTTGCGTTCACTTGTCTTGTACAGTGGACACACATATGCATTCGATTTCTTGATCTCTGATGTTTTGGCTGCAAGGGAAAAATTCCGTAAGGTGAAATAACTGAGAATAAAATGAAATAAGAATACTGAATGCCTACAGCTTACAAACTGCACTGCAGCACGATGGAGTAAAACTGAAGGAAACAACCACCACACACATTGCATCTCTTGAGGTGGGCAATTAAACATGTGACTTTAAGTGAAATATTAGGGATTAACTTCTTATACTTCTCTCTGACATCTTAATTTTTTTTTTATTATGAAGAATTAACTCTCTCACTACCACATAAGAGATAGCAATTGCTTATTTTTCCCATTTGGCATGAAGGAACATTTTAGTGGGAAGGGAAATGAAAATATATGTTCCCTCAGTACTTGTCATTAATTGGTTCCAGGAGGCACGATGACTACCAAAAATGATAATACCAAACTATTTTTTCCCATAAAGAATAATGTGGTGGGTGACAAGGCAGCCAACACTGAGTACCAAACAATGAGAACTGGGACAAAATTTTCACATCAAAATGTGTTGAGTTCCAAATTCAATGGGTTTCAAAGCAGTTGAGTACTGAGATATCATTGTATATAGAAAATGTATATAGAAATATAATTTTGCTATGCTGGCAACAGTACACTTTTTGTATTATACTTGGATGGTAGCTATAATGATGTTTCTTTATTATGGCTAATGTCTAGATATAAAAAATAAGAGTTCTGATGTGAACACTTGAAAGGAAACAACTAGGACATCTTGCTATGTAACCTTATAAAGTAATTAGTAATCTAATATTAAGGAATCGAATCCAGTAATTTGTTGCAAGCAGTATGGGATTGGACATTTTCAAATAATTATATTTTTAAAAATTCACTTACCTGGTTTTATCCAAATAATGGGCATCATGTCAAAGAGGATTTTGGGATGTTGTTCACCTAGGAGCCCTCTGGTGAAAAAAAAAACAACTGTGGAAAACTAACATAATATAGTTTTAAAAAATGAAGTTTTATGTAGTTCAACATAATTAGGATAAAGAAGAAAACTACTTCAGACATCATAAATTTGATCTTCCACCATAAATTAAAGATTAATGTTTCAGAATAGAGTGGTTATGTTTGTGAAGTTATTAGTGAATGCCACTTCCTATTCAATTCAGTGGAAATGACCTGAGCAAATATTAATAGACAGATCATCCCAGTTAGAGAACATCCAGGTATTAGAAGATGGGAGTACAGAAGAATGTCTTTATATTAATTGTGAAGTGGTAAAGAAGTGTACACACCCAATTATAATTTGGAATATTTACTACTATTCCCATATTTTTAAAGATAAATTTGCTTTTAAATTTACAGTATATGTTACATCTCACGACTTTTATAAAACAATTTAATGCATCCATGTTTTAGACTGTCGTATGTCTGTTGAAAACATCCAGATCACCACAAGTAGCAGCAAATAGTTCAGGTTTTCTGCATCATGCCAGTTGATGATTATCTAGCATTCTGTATCTAAGTGTGATGGCCCTGCTTTTACTCCTATTGATTTTGCTACAAAAAGGGAATGTAAGCTGTCAAGTTACAAAAATACGCTGAAAATTCATATTCAAGGAAAGGTGGAGAAGCAATTTTAATATACTGTATATGCCATACACATTTACTACTAACTTTGCTCTGTCCCAGCGAGCTCCATCTAAAAATAGCCCGTTGATGTAAACACCATCTTCTGGAGCAGTAGTCGAAGTATCCCTTGGAATAACCTGAACAAAATAAAAACAATAAATTATTGCTCTGTTACAATCTTTTGTTCATTTCAGATTGGAAATATAGTGATCTTTTTAGCAATGAAATATAATTTTAGTACTAGCTAACAGAGGAAGTACTGTATTTGGAGATAACTCTCCTTTAAATTTCCTTTTTGTTCCATCCAGGCCTTGATTTCTGTTGAGTGTAGCTGGATAAATTAATAATGAATAGCAGGAAATCCAAAGCAGGGAGAGACTTTCTTCTGACATGGCTCTGGTGTTTTTATTTTGCTTGTTACCAGCTCCCTAAAAAACAGTGCCTTTGATGAGGTACATTCCAAGTGGCTACTAACCAATTGCAGGAAAACTCATGGGTCCTCTAACAAGCTTCTAACATATGCATCAAGCGTGCTGATGTTGGATTCGAAACTTCATTCTCACTTTGGATCAAAACACCTGCACGTATATAACAATGAATTGTGTCTTAATTGTCTCCCAGGTCCTCACTTATTAAGTTAGATTGCTATTAAAATGGGAGAGTTCCAGGTGAGGAAAATGGCAAACTAGATGTCTGAAGCAGCAGAGATGACCCCGTTGCAAAAGCTGACAGATAGCAGTCTGCACCATTCAATGAAAGCTCTCTAGTCAAGAAGAAAATGAGAGATTGTCCACTTGGGCTCCAGATACCAGAGGGCAGAGTGGCAAGGGTGGTAGAGTACAGGGTAGCCAGAAAGGCAGAGATGGTGAAGGAGACAGGCAGGTGAGGGAATTTGAAACAGTGAGCATGACATGGCAACAGAAGCATGAGCATTTGGCCTAATAATGGTGTGATCCTGGCTTAATGACAATAACCAGGATTAGTGGAGCTGCCATTGCTAAGCAATGCAGTCACTTGATGTTTTGCCTAATGACTACTTCACTTAGTGACCAAATTCTGATCCCAGTTAGGATCTTTAAGCAAGGACCATCAATATCTGGGAAGGAAGGAAACTGCAAATTTTTTGAATGACTGAGCAGAAGATAAAAAACTACATCAAGTTCCCCACCACAACGTTGGCGCCCATTTGCCTGTATGTTTGTGGCCCACCTGTATGCAACCTTAGCTATAGCTATTCCTTTAAGAGGAACTGAGCTGTTTGATTTCCTGCAGTTTTTTTCTCACTTCTTCCGGTTTTTCCAGGCTACATTTATGTTTTCCTAACAGATGTTGTGTACCTTCTCCACAGCTATTTGCATATTTAAATACAGTATACAGCAGCTAGTACAAAAAGATTAGAATGCCCTGGAAAGACAGGATGGAGTAAAAAGACAATCAAGATTGGCTGGCCTTATTTCTCTTAAATATTCCATTACGTCTACAATAAAGTAGGATGCTAGTACCTATTATAGTTTTTGTTTTCTGCTTTCATCTACCCCGAAAGACTGAGGAATCAAAATAGGTACACATATGAATTAACACAGTTGTCTATTGATATACTTTTGGAGACTATAGTATATAGTCCTATAGTATATAACTGTGATTGCGAACCTATGGCATGTGTGTCAGAAGCAACATGCAGAGCCATCTCTCTGGGCACACCACCTGTCATCTGTTGCTCTTCTGGGTTCTGGCGCACGCATGTGCACTCGCCAGCTGGTCTTCGCACATGCGGAAGCGCCAGAAACCAGAAGAGCAGCTCTCCAGCATGCATGTGCGCACCGGGACATTGAGCTTCCGGTTTCCAGTGCGCACATGCACACTGCCCAGGGGGTCTTTGTGTGTTCACGCATGCCAGAAACCAGAAAATCAGGTGGCCGGTGTGCATGCGCACGCTGGAACTTGTCAGCTCATGTGCATGTCAGGGAACTGCTCTTCCGGTTTCTGGTGCTCTGACACACACACACCGGGGAACTGCCCTTGCAGTTTCCAGCACGCCCCCACGTACGCGCACGCACTCCCATTTCAGCACTCGGTACTGAAAAGGTTTGCCAACAGTGGTATATTATCTGTAAAATTCAGCCTTTGCTACCAAATTTTACCTGAAACTCATATCCCAGGAGATCAATAGGAATAGTGTACTTCCTGGCATAATTCTGCATTGCTCCAGTTAAAAATGCTTGTGTGAAAAAGAATCCTGAGAGCCAAAACACACATGGTTTTCCAGAATCATACCAATCCTTGGAAAAGAAATAGAAGAATAATCTTGGTTTAGAACCATATTTTATAAAAAATATGACAAATTATTAATAACCATGGCAGATTATTTCACAATAATAAAAAGATTAATTATATGCTTGTTGTTTTACCTGTAAGAATTTCAGTCTAGCTAGAAAATCTAGAATATAGCTTCCCAGTGGTTTCAGACTTGGGTATGAACGTTTAGCCCAGTTTTCTGCAACTTTTCCAATAAGAAGACTGGCACAAAGGGCCTCTAATTCAGAATCCATCACAACCAATCCTTTAATTGCTTTCTTCAAATTTACCAAAGTTGTGCGTATGGTTTTTATTAAACTAAATGTACAAAAAATGTAGACACATAATTCAAGTTGCAAATTTTATATAACCTACAAATAATTACATGTACAAATGATTATACTGTACTTCTCTATTTTGTAAAAAAAAAAGGATAGTTATGACAGCTTTAAAACATATTTGTAATTTAACAGTTTCTACTATAGGATTAGGAGATTTGGTATAATCCATGTGCCTATCTGGAAAATTAAATGGAATATGTAAAAATATGAAGAAAACAAAGCCCTTACTTGTTAAAACGTTCCATTTCTTGCACCAGAACAGTATTCATACTTTCTTCATATATCACAGGATATTTAATAAGTGCTGCCTCAATATCATAATCTTTTGGAAGCTAGAAAGTTGATATACTTATTTTAATTTTGATAAATGTATTTTATGAATGTATTTTATGAATGTATTTATATAACCATAATAAATTAAGGTAAGGCAAATACAAAGACTTCAAATTCCTATTGCAAAATTCCAATAGCTATTACTCAAATTCTACATTCTACATAGCACGTATGTTTTCAGGGAGAGAATGAGAAGATTATTTAAGGAGATAAATATATTTCAACAAAATCACATGAAATTATTTTCTTTCTTTTTTCCCCCATTAAATTAAAATTAAGGGAACATTTTTTACTACATTATTATGAATGGAGTCAACAAACCAAATTACAGTTTCATAATTCACATCTCCAATGATAGCTCTTTGTCTCATACAAAGAAGTTATTGATTTCTTTCTTTCTGTTTGAGTTGTTGTGTTTTATTTATTTGAGTATGATGGAATTTGACATTGAAGTTCAACTGTTGTTCATATTTCAAGTTACAGCAAATATGTCCTTACTGCAATAACATTTATTATTGAATACATATTTATATATTAATAAATTAGTTATATTTATTGAATACATTTTAAATACCTAGTGCATTTTTATATCTTTCCACATCTCTGAATAAGATTCAAGTTTGATATAAGCAAATGTGCAAATAATTTATTTTTTAACATGGCATAATAACACCCCCTAAAGAATCCACCAAGCATTTTGCTAAGAAGTCTAAATTGAGATAATTTATATTGTTTCCAAAAGCAACTATAATTTTTAGTGCAGGCATAACTGTTGAAAATTAGTGTCTTTATCAGTCACTAGGTAATTAGGTGTGTAGGTTCAATTTCCAGGTGATTTATTTCATATTTGGGTAGAGCCATCAGAAATGGAGCATACAATATTTGCTTAATTAAAGCAATAGACTCCACATTGTGTAAAATCGGGAAGATAATGTATCATGGAATGAAAAAGAGCTACCAGCAATAAACAGCTCAGATTATCACTTTCAATCATTTCTTTATATAGTATACTCCACACATGCGCTGAAATCCCAGATTTTATTTAATCAGGAAATTTGTAACTATAGTTAATTTAGTTAGACCAAATGCATTCATTCTATTTGATACTCTATCTGCGATTGCTCATTTCTTTGGATGTTTTCGTTTTTGTTTATCCATATTCCCTTTAAAAAAAAACTCTGATTCTAATAATAGAAAGCTTATAGAAGTCACAATATCAAAATTCAATGCACAATGTAATTTGTTTCATTTGAACGATGCCAATATGGCACGTTATCATTTGCCCCACATTTGGTTTCTTGCAAACATACTTGTTTTTTCAGCAGGATTATAAAGCTGCACTAAGTTCTACCATTCTGGGCTTTTGATCTCCTTTTCCTCCTCCTCCTCCTCCTCTTCTGTAAAATCTGTCTTTTATTTGTTCAGTTGCTTTTGACATTTTTTTTGTGATCTGGAAAAACATTCCCCCTCCAGGATTGCATGTCAGTAACTTGGATGGGTTTTTATATGCTCCTTCTGGTGTCAGGGATAATGACTGTCAATCTATCTTCTGACAGCTTCTTTTTTGTCTCCTTTTGATTTTTTTTCAAGTATCACAGTCTGCTCTGGTGATTCTTACTTTTAAATATGTGTACAAATCTTAAGTTCTAGCTTCATTACTTGGACTTCAACGGAACAATCTGGCCTTGTTTTGTCTGTTAAATGATCAATTCACAGTGTTCTTAACAATTTTCTGCAACACTTTAATTCCAAAGTGTCTATGGAGATTCTCAGTCATCCACTTCATGGTTGTCCCAAAGGTGCTTTTTTTCAAGAGGCAACTGGACTTTCTGGTTTTTCTTTGAAGATGTTTCGCTTCTTCTTGGATGAGAAGCGAAATGTCTTCAAAAAAAAAACAACCCAGAAAGTTTAATTCCAAAGCATTTTTTCTTCATTTATTCTTTCTGATCGTCCAATGTTCACAACATGTTGCAATTGGGAACATTTCAGAATATGCATCTTCTTTTGTCAGTATGAAGTTTTTGTATTTTAATAATTGAGAACTTTAAACAATATAAATTAGATTAGATTAACATCAGAAAAATAATTCTGAAGCAGCTATCGTATAATTTATTTCAGTTCACATTACCTTGTTAAGAATGTCATCTGCAATTTCATATAAAGTGCTGTCGCCACCACTTTTAGACCCTCCTTGATTGCTTCCTCCTTGGGTCAACAGAAGAGATTCAAAAGTGATTTTTGTTTGCTGGAGATCCTTTGATATATCTACATTATCATGCAGTCCAAACACTTCTGGTTGCTGACTAAAAGGAAGATTCTAGATAATAAGACAAAATGAATTATTTAGGACTGAGGAAATATTAATCTAATCAATTAATTTCACTGTTTGGCAAATCATCTGAGAATGGAATAGCTCTGCAAATAATCTGCAGGAATTTTTCTTCTAGCATAAAGAAAAAAAAGATCTACACTCAAACCAATAGTATACCAGCATTCAGCATGCTCAACATTGTATATTTTTTTATTTGGATTTCATTTGGCATTTTTTTTCTATAACGTAAAAAGATAATATATTACAGTTGTCTATAGACAGAAATGTGCTCAAACTGAATTTAGCTTGCTAAATGTTTTTTTTAAAATATGAACCCTGTACATACAGTAAAATCATACCTTAATAAATTCAATATAATCATCATAAGTGCCCCTTGGGGGAGCATAATAGTTGCCACTGGGAGAAAATTTATAATGTGAATTCTCCACTATATCTGTATTGTAAAAGTCAGCAAGCATAGTCAGTAGTAGACGTCTGTCCCAGTCATCTGTCACTCTTCCTCCATAATTGCACTCACCCGTAAGGTAAGTTATTGCTTCAAATGGGATGTGATCATACTCATTTATAAACAGCTGAAATTGTAAACAAAGTACTCAGCAGTGGAGAACAACAATATTCAGGTATTCTCTAAACTTCTCAAATGTTTTGATCTGTTAAAAGGGTATCAATATTTCAAGACTGGACTATTTTTCCCAGCAGGGTTCTGGAATGCCCACATCAAAGAACATCAAAGAAACATGGAAAAGTCACATTAATATTAATATGGTTAAAAGAACAGTTCATGCTTCAAATTAGTTTACTAGGTTGTTTTTTTAGCTTCTTTTGGTAAGGAAATATTAGGCATGAAATACACACTGATGTTTCTTAGTAGTAGGATCTACTCAAATATGAATTTAGAATGGAATCAGCTTATTAACTTGTTGTTACAAAATCTTGGGTAGATTTTGGAAGAAACAATGAAGAGGTTTACCTGCAATTGTCTGACACTGATTCGCAAGTCTGATTCATTAAATCCATAAGGAATATTCCATCCCAGAGGTCCAAATTTTTTTCTCTCCTGTACTAGGGCATGAAAAAAGCAAACTCCAAACAGCAGCTTCTCCCATCTCTTTTAGGGGGGAAAACACTTAGTTAACCCAGACAGAAACAAGACCAGGCAAATACAACTGAAAAATTCTGTGTCTACAAAACTTTTGGCTGGTAATAACATTCAAAAAGTTGTTTTGGCCACACAATGATATTTTCACTAACTCCAACTAATTGCCTTTTCCTAGCAGGACATTTTATTCAGGACATTTTAATCAGGACCAAAATTTTATATTACTCTGCATCCTTTCAGAGGTTTGCCACTTGTCTAATTGCTGCTCGGCTAGGCAGCCCACATAGAACATTTATTTTAATACATTGATTGGATGAGAAAGTCATCCAATCAATGTACCATCAATGGAGAACTTAGCCTCCTTGAAGTTAACAGTGAAATAGTAAGAGTTACCATTTTGTAGGACGATGAAACTAATGGATGAAAAAAACTTTTGAAATTGTGGCAGAGGAAAAAGATAACAAGACAGGGCGACATCAGCAAGTATGTGCAGTTTATAAAAAGGCCAAAGAATGCAAACTTTATGCATAAATCTTTATATAGAACACTATACTTTCATACTTTAAAGCTACATTTTAATGTTTGGCAAGCAAAACTGTGTAATTTTTCTAATTAATTATCTCTTTACATATTTTTAAGAAGAAAGTTACCTGTTCCTTTCCAGAACATCCAGCAAAAAAGTCTGCATCAGAAATCGGATCAGAGAGGAAAGACTGAAGTAAATTTAGCCGGAGGCCTGTAGGAGGCTCATTTGTCATCTTCACACCATTCTGAAGAATGGTGACTGGAAACTAGGGAATGCAAGCATGGTAACTTTGCTAACAGTTCTCTTTTTATATACTCTTTTAAATTATTCAGTATACACTACCTTTTTAAAACATTGTGCCTGGTGCTATTTGCATCTTTACATCAATCAATGAATCAATCTAACAATCAAGTCATGGGGTTCAATAGTCTGTTTTCTTCTGATTTTTTAAATTTTTCATATATAATTCCTTTATACACACACACACACACACACACACACACTTTTCATAAATATTCAGGTACATTTCATATTTGAAATACCTTGGGTGATGGATAACTAGTCAGCCAGAGTCTGAAAAGGGAATGGCAAGTTTCACTGTTAAACTCTTCACAGATTTTCTCCAGCATTGGCATCCAGGAAACAGCAAGATGGCAGTTTTGTAAACAAACCCAGGTCCCTTCCTCCATTCCTTCTCTAATCATTTTTGTTGCTATGGGTCCTTGCCCTTGTCCCAAAGAGATGGACTGAAATTTATTTCCAATCATATTTTTGTCATTTGCAAATTTTAAAAGACCTGGAACAAAAACAGTAATACATTAATATTTGTTTGAAAATAATTATAACTCTCACATCTAAAACTATTTGTAAATCATGCCTTTTAGTTTACAAGGCATTGTATTCAAAATCAGATCTGAAAAATGTCTACGTTTCATTTGTAGGTATGAGGTATGAATTGATTAATATGGGACAATTTATATATACCAAGACACAAATAAGTGCATGTTCATAATTTGGAAATATGTAGTTTACATCATCAAAAAAGATAGTTACATTACTAGTGTATTATATCCTAGTACTACTTCTGCTCATAATATCTGAAACTGAAAATTCTGAAGCTGTCACATTCTAATCTCTTTAGCTCATGAAAAGCACTGTTTTTATTATTTTTCAAGAAGATAATGAGGAAAAAGCCAACCTCTGAGAGAAAGCAATTCTAGAGTGAGGAGGATGGAACCAAGAAATTCTGCTTTTGGATTCCTGGCCCTTTAATATTTTCTGGGGAAGAATCTGAAGCATTTATCTTGGCTTGCAGATTCAATCTGAACCAGGCAGCTACAAAGATGTAGAACAGGGGCCCCCAACCTCCAGGCCACAGATGGATAGTGGTCTGCAGCTTGTTAGGAACTGGGTCACACAGATGGAGGTGAGTTTGTGTTTTATGTTAATATAAAACCATCCGCCTCATCTCGGTCCATAGAAAAATTGTCTTCCACGAAACAGTTCCCTGGTGCCAAAAAAATTGGAAACCACTGATGTAGAATACCCAAGTCATAAAGAGCATTATAGGTGAAAAATAGCATCTTAAATTGGGCCCAGAAATCCACTGATAGTCAATGCAGCTCATGCAAGCTAATGTTATCCTGCTGTAGCAGACTTTACTGGTCTGTAGGTGAGCAATTGCATTCTCCATCAGTTGTAGTTTCAAATTAACTTTAAGGCAGCCATATGTGGAGCAAATTGAAATAATCCAAATGAGAAGTGATAAAGGTTCGAGCTATCCTTGCTCAGATTCTGGTTCAGGAAACTTTCAACTATGCTAAAGCTGCTCAACTTAACGTACATGTCCTGACAAATATTTGCTTGTAGAGCAGGACATCTGATCATTATCAAGTACCTTCAGAGAATTATTGCCTTCCTTCTCTCTTGCCTTGGTTGATGCAACAGTAATATGTAATAGATCTAAATTATATTTTGTGATGGGTATTGATTTTAGAAGAGTCACAAACAAAAACAAATGAAGATTGCAAACAAAGCAAACGGGACAACAAAATGAAGGCCATTTGTTTCCCCAGATCTTAATTTTCCCATTGCTAGGAATGTTTTGAAAATGTATTTTCTCTATATAGTATAATTTTAATGGTTTTATATGAACATAAAACATAAACTCAACTTTATGAACAATAAACCAAATTTACTAACTGCTATATTTGAAAGATATTCAGAAACTTTACATAAAAAACCCAAACTAACAGAAGCTTTTGTAAGCAAAAAAAGGCCCAAGTATAATGAGTGAACTTACTTGCCATAGGATCTGCTCCAGGAGATAGCACAAAGATTAAAGGGATTGAAGAATTTGAATCTAAGTAACTTTTTGTTAGATCAAAAGGAGGTGGCTCAACAAATTTCTTTCCAAGTTTATCAGTCACAAAGGTTGTTATAGCTGGTGTAATCTGTTTTCATATAAATTGTGAGCATAACAAAGGATTTGCTATAAATTACTCAGTTTTTATTTCAAGGCAGTTTAATTGGTAAATATTTAATAATTTAAATATTTAATAATTCAAACAAATCTAAATACTGTGGAAAACTTGCAGTGATCGAAAAGGTTTATATATTGCAGGCTTAGGTCTTTTTTACATATTTTAGAAACGTATTTTAAACTGTTAGTTTTATAAGCAGTAATACTGTTTTCTTTCTTTATTATACTTTAAAATGAAATGTGATTTAAAGAGTCTTGAATTAAAAAGTTAAACAACTAAAAAACCAGAATATTTTTTTTCAATATATAGTGTATAGATTAATTGGAAGGAAAAGGTGTTCTAATACATTTGCTTAAAATATATAGTTGATTTCACATTTGCTTACCTGTGATGCATGACAATCTAATATTATTGTAATAACTTATCACTGGGTATAATAAGGAAGTTCAGTTTCTCTTTTAATTCAATTTGAAAATGATTTATTGACTTGGTTGACTCTGCAATTATTGGGATCCCTTTTTCGGCAGCTATCAATATCAATACTCAATCTGATTTTGAATAGTTTTTAACAATATTGGAGAAATTCAATTTTGAAAAAATTCTCTAAAAACTTTTGTAAAATTTGAAAATCAGTCAAAAAGGTAGTTTCTTGGTAGCTTAGTCAGCAAAAGCATTTGTTATTCATAGCATTTATTGAAATGCTATTGGTGTTTCTGAGGTTTTACATTGACTAGATCAGTGATGGCGAACCTTTTGGGCCCCAAGTGCCCAAAGTGTGGGCGCATGTGTGCGCGTGCAAGCATACACAAAATGCAAGGCACCCCCCATGCATGCGCACCTCCTATGCATGTGCTCTACCACGCACATGCACCCCTGCCCTCCTATGCATGTGCCCCGCCCCCACGCACATGCACGGCAGAGACCTGAAAGCCAGCTGGCCAAGCATGTGCGATGGAGCTGAGCTGGAACAACGGCACGTGCGCCCACAGAAAGGGCTCTGCGCGACACCTGTGCCAGATGTGCCATAGGATCGCCATCATGGAATTAGATGATAATTTTTTGCATTTTGTATTTGTATTCTTAGCTGTTTTGAATGTTTACATTTAGCAAAATTCAAAACAGACATAAAATAAATGGAATTATATTTAGGAATGCAAACAACAGCTACTTAATTAACTGCCAATACAAATTATGTTACATAAATCATCTTTACCTTGTCAGGTCTCAAGCATCGGAGAATAATCATTTTCTTTATTTCATTTAAGTCTGTATTCCATGGTTTAGGTAAAGGAACTGTCTGGGGTTCTTTACTATCATAAATGCTACGCCATTCATCGGGCTGTGAAGTCACATGATTCCTACAACAATAAAATAAACTTGAAAGATTTAGATTTCAATTTTATACAAGAATAAACTATTCTAGATGTTCTTCTAGTGTAAGATGGTGAGGCCCAGTTCATTTGACAAGCAATGGCACAATATCTTCTAAGTTTATTTTTAGAATAATATAATTTAATCTCTTTGCCAACATGCTTCCCAAATGACTGTGTTCTTCCACTGGTACTATATTTTCTTATTGGATTTTTTTTCATAAAAGAGTAGTGTCATTGGAGAGGAATTATTACAAAGGTGTCAAACACGATTTCATTGAGAGCCGCATTAGGGTTGTGTTTGACCTCAGGGAGTTGGGGTAGGCGTGGCCAGCATGACACTGTCGGGGGCGCCTGTGGCCTGAGTGCTCTGCCAGCAACAATGGGCTCCCAAGCTTTGTTTTCAGCTACAATGTCCTCCTACAACCCTTGGCCAGAAAAAATAGAGCTCTGTTTTTGCTGGCAGAGGTACTGCAGGCCAGTCCTTTACTATTTCCAGGGCAACCCCGTGGGTCAGATCTAAGCACCCCATGGGTCAGATCCAGCCCATGGGCCTTGAGTTTGACACCCCTGGGTTATTATATTCTGTTTTCTCAGTTTCTGAGTGAATCAATGTATTTATATAAATTGAATAATAACATTATGTCACACGTAAGTTAGTTATATTTCCAGAGCTTCAGTCACAAAATGATAGTTTTCCCCAAAACCACTTGAAGACTTCTCTTTGATCTTACTGTATCCCTTTCTTTGACTTTTTATTCTCTCCTTTGCCTCTCTCCAATTTCTCAAAGCTTTCTGCCACTTTTTCCCCAGAAAGTGTACAGTTTTCTCTTTACTGCATGCTCCCAATGTGGCAATGTGGTATTTCTTCACATAAAAAGGTGGCAAATCTGTGACCTTGTATGCTACATGAAGGCCTCAAATCCATTTTTAAAAAATCAGCAAAGACAGTGAATAACAACTGTCTTATTGAAATCTCAGAGAAGAATCTGGGTGAGGTAGAAAGCAAAACTAAACATTTGTATGTTGATTTGCACAAGACTTACTATGACTTCTATATTAGGAAATGCTTATCCCTCCCCCAAAACACAATGATAAAAGAGTTGCTACTGTACCGTAATCCTTTAAAAGCAGGCATATCGCTTGCACGACATATTTCATCCCAGCTTTTATCTTGTAACCAAGATGGATCGGGATTCTTGAATTTGCTCTTGAGACCAACCCCTCCAGTTAATAAAAACATAAACTCCTGATATTCAATTTCTTTCCTAGCTCTGTTTTAAAAAACAACCAAGTACAATTTAAGTAACACAGTATTATTTTAGATTAAAATGCAATTTATTTATTTATATATCAACTAGAAATTATGCCAGAATTCACTAGCCATAATTGTCATTAAACTTCACTATGGGTAGTCCTTGACTTACAACCATTCATTTAGTGACCATTCAAAGTTACAACAACAAAAAAGTTACAACTGAAAAAAGTTACTTATGACTGTTGCATGGTCAAATGATCAAAATTCGGATGCTTGGCAATTGGTTCATATTTATGACAGTTGCAATGTCCCAAAGTCATGTCATCACCTTTTGTGACCTTCTCACAAGGAAAGTCAATAGGGAAGCCAAGATATACTTTACAACCGTGTTACTAATTTAACAACTGCAGAGATTCACTTAACAACTGTGACAAAAAAAGTCATAAAAATGGGGCAAAGCTCACTTAACAATGTCTCATTTAGCATCAGAAGTTTTGGGTTCAATTGTGGTTATTAAGTCAAGGACTAACTGTACCATTAATCCCCAGGTGGCTTCAACGACTCTCAAAGTGTTAATGACTGGATAGCTGAAAAAAGTATATTGTAAAACCTTCCTTCCCCACCAGTTAATTAGAACTGAAGAAATTTCTTGGAGGAGAAGTGAAAGATTTTCAAGAAAAATCAAGAAAGTCCAGTTGTCTTTTGAAAAAAAAAAAAAAACCACCTTTGGGACGACCATGACCTGGATGACTGAGAACCTCCATAGTCATTTTATCATTAGCTTAAGTGATTAGAGATCCTTTGACAATGAAGACTTCATGGGAAAAAAAACTCCAAATACCATGTTGGAATCCTATGTGACAAGACTGACTTGTGCAAGAATTGTATGGCATGTTCATATCAGGGTATATGCAGGCTTTGAGTGCAATCCTGCAATATCAGTAATGGCCTGGAAAATCCAAGTATCCCAGCAAAGATTCCTACAAGAAAAACTAATGAGGCAACATTGAAAGATTACATGAACTATAGAAGGGATGCAATGTATAATAGAAATAAACTGAAAATATTTAGATAAATTATATATTTCATAAAATATTTAATGGGACTGAATTACTAAACCTCATCTCAATTTAATCCCAGTTCAATTTGTTCTGGTGTGCAGATTCATTTTAACAGCTTCTGTGCATCAGTGATTTGCAAGTGCAAACATGCCACTACTTGAAATAAAACATTTCCTAATATTTAAGATGCTGCAAGATAAATAATTAATATTTTAATATATTAAAAATTCTAGAGTCTCTTACATCAGAAGATTACAGCAGAGTAAAAATGAAAACAGCAACTTATCCTTCTCAAACAGGGAGCGACAAACATTGCAATACAAGTTGTACGTGAAATGGTCATTTAGATACCGTAGCCTTTTTTCCAAAATTTTAGACTTGTTGCTATTAAAAATAGAAACACGTATTTAGAAGTGCATACCCATTTAATAAAATATTGTTATACATATTCAGATATTGATTTAATTGGAACATATTGCAGTATCTACAATATATGCACCTGACTAGGTATGTGTCATTACAAAATAAAAGGAAAATGGAAAAAGAGGAAGGAAAAAAATATTGATTTCTTACGAATGTCTGATGCTAATTAAATATTTACCGTATCTACAATTTGAAATGATTTTTTAAATTAATTTAATTATATTGCCCATTTCCCCTATAAAGCAAATCTGGGTGGCTTGCAGATTATAAATGTTTACATACAAACAAACAGAAAAACAACTATTTTCAGAAAAAAATGTACTTGAAACTATAAATAGGTTTTAAAACAGGCATATTTTGAAAAATGAAATACTTGAACACAATTACTGCTCACCTGTCATGAATAGAGTTGATATAAAGGTTTACAAACCAACTGAGAGAATATTGGTACATTGGATCTATATTAGCCAGATCAGCAATACTAAAAAACAATACAGATGAATGCTTTGCAATGGGTCTGTAGCCTTCTCGAGACTGTGCAATCTTAATTTCAGTTTTTTCTGCAATCTAAAGAAATATTTCTTGGTTATTAGCATAAAATCTAAGCATCTAAGACAGCCTTTTCTTTCCATGGTTTTCTTGCATTGTAAGATCAAATTGACCAATGCCCTGTTTATTGGCTGCTGCAGCAAGTCTATGATTAGATCTCTGTAACTGTATAAAACATGAATACCCACACAGAATCAGAAATCATAAAAAGTTGAGAATTTTCTAGAATATTACTACTTTATGCTAGCATATTTGTAAAGCTAACTACATCAGTATCTTTTGAAGTTTAAGGTTAAAAGTCAAAGAGATAAGTTCAAAGATAAAAAGCAATTCAACTAAAGAGGGAAACTATTTAAATAGTTTAAATAGATGGACAACCACTTAGATGTTCTTTTCAGAAAAGCATTGCCCTGTTTTTACCAGCTCCCCTGACTCCTAAAACACTTCCTTTTAATTGGGAAAAGGTGGAAGTAGCAGGATATTCAAAAGAATTTTTTTCATCCTTCCATCCTTTCTTTCCTTCTATCATCCAAGTTAACAATGTGACAGCACATTGCAAATTTTTAGAATAATAATTCCAATTTTTTCCCCCACAAACACCCTATTAGTTGAAATGCTAATATTAGCACTAAAGATAGAGTCCATTTCAATAACTAAGGATAGAGAAGAGGGAAACTTGATTTGTATTAAAATTCTGAGATTGTAAAGCACTGACTTTCCTTGTGTATTGAACTTTATAAGTCCCTTATGTTTGATTCCAAGTTTAAGCATTGATGTTTTCTCCCCTTACATATCTGAATTCTTAGAGACTGCCTAGAAAAAGTCATTGCATTTTTCTTGGCAAGGTTTTTCAGAAGTGGTTTGCCTCTGTGTCCTGACTAAGGTTAAGAAAGCCTGACTGGCCCAAAGTCACCCAGTTGAGCCCATTGCGGAAGTAGAAGAACTCATGATCTCATAGTTTCTAGCCTGATGCCTAAAACTTTACTAGCATATAATAAATAATAATCTTTTAATAATAATAATCAATTGCCACAAGATACTTCCCCTAATTATTGCACATAGTGATAACTGAAATAGCCTAAGCAAGGGACCCAGTGGCCCGTGTGAGGATAAAAATAACAAGAGAAAGGACAGCACTCTCCTCCTCACACACATTGATTTTCCATATATACACAAATTATTTTTTGTTGCTCCTATGCTTGTGCAAATTGTGCACACGTGCACACACGGACAAACACACACCAAGAAAAAGAAAACAGGCTTGAAAGCTTGTTTCTGGTGTCACCTTTTCTTTGACCCTTCCCACTTTCTTCCCACCAAACCAGTCTTCCTTGCTACTCTGCAGACTCCTTGGAGGCCAGCTAAGTCATATTTTGCTTCCATCTATTCTTACTGTCCTCCGTGAGATACCACAAGGCTAATTATCATATCTCAACTACAGAAAGTCTTGGGAATATTTCCTGCTCATCTCATTTTGCAGCCCCTATATAGTAACCCAGATTAAATTCAGATTAAGATAAACAAAATATAAATTGGCCAGCTAGTGCAGATGATCTCTAGCTGGCTTAATTGCACACAGAATGCTACTGTTATTACAGCATTGCTGTGCATCACTAGAGCTATGTTCAGCTTTGGGATCAACACATCAATCATTATCTATAGCTACTTTTTGCAAAATCTGAAGTTGCTTACCTGCTGCTTCTTTGTAATTTCATTAGACATTATTTTTGCTGAGTCCAAGATAGTAATTGCACTTTCATCTTCTAAAATATTACCTTCAGAAGACTGCAGTGTTTCTAAAATTTTATTTTCTATATCTTTTAGTTGTTTCTTATTGGCAGCTGACTGAAGGATAAGAGCATTTCGTTCTTCCTCTAATTCTGGCCTAAAATGACAAGTACCCTTTTTTGTTAGTGGATTTTTTTGAGATTCTTTTGTTCTTTTTATGTCAATGTTTTGTTGGCCATAATTATGTTTAAATATCTCTTTTAAAAATTTATACAATGTAAAATATTCTCTTTAAATCTTCATTATTGGATTAAATGATTCTATAAAACTAATAGTAGACATGCATATTTTTTTCATATCCTATTTAATTAAATCAAGCTATCAAAATTAGATCAGGCATATGGGCAATTGCAAGGGACATGTTATCACAGCTTCAATATATTGAAGTCTGCTTCTTCCTGTAATTAAATCACCTTTATATTCCAAATACAGAATATTGACAAAGATTTCTTCTATTACCTCACTGTACAAGGAAGAACACACACTTCAGCCCACAAGTTAATACCCACTTCCCTTATTTTTTAATTAAAAAGTTTAAATTTGGTCTCTCTGAAAAGTCTGTACCTATTACTTAATTACCCATGCATGTCATATGTACATGTATTTACTTATATGTATGCATGTATGTTCAATAATTCTTCCTGAATTAGAATGAAATTGAATTATATTTATGAATTAAACTTCCTGAAGAAAAACCCAAACACTTACCTTTCCTTGGCAACAACTATGCCTAAAAGTTGATCTTCTAGTCCTTCTGGAGTAATCATGAAATTTAGCAAAGAAACTTTTGTTGCTAATTCAGGTAAATAATGCGGATTCCTTAATTTGGTGGTAATATAAAATTTGAAATCAAAAGAATATTCAATTATTGTTTCACCAAGCCGAATGCAATCCATGCCTCCTAGTATTAAAGAAAACAAAGTATTTGTTCTATACAGCAATAGCCTTTAACTGGCAGCAAGTTCAGCATATGGTAATTAAAGAGATTATAACTGTGTTCATGTTCAATCATAGTTTGGGATGCACTTGGATTCATGTGACACTTGTTCTATTTCTCTCCTGCACAACTAGTTTTAAAATAGCATTTTAAAATAAAACAAAATAAAATAATAGTATTGAAGTCCCAAGGTTGCTAAAAGAGATGTCCATGGAGATCCCAAATGTAGATAGATCTGTGCTTGCTAGGGTCAGCAAAATATTTCAAAAATAATACATACCTATTGTGTTTTTTATCCTTGTCCCCCTTGATCTTATTTCTTAGGCCTTTAAATTCCAAACTGTGGGCCATGGATCCTAGGGCATCACAGTGCATAGTTTGGGACCTGTTAGAAGCCCCATAAATCAGGAAAATTTGGGAACCTCTGCATTACAGAGCCTTGGAGGCGCAGTACTGCAAGCTACTCCTACTGCAATTTGGCAGATCGAATCCCACCAGGCTCAAGGTTGACTCAGCCTTCCATCCTTCCGAGGTGGGTAAAATGAGGACCCAGATTGTTGGGGGACAATATGCTGACTCTGTAAACTACTTAAAGAGGGCTGTAAAGAACTATAAAGCGGTATATAAGTCTAAGTGCTATTGTTATTAGGTTTATCATTAGCAACACATAGTCTTTGTTTTTACATTTTGATAAAGTATGTCATCTTCTCCTTCTGTGATAAACTTGTACTTCATGACAGTCCCACTTCTATTCAGTTAATCCCTGGTACATCCTTTGCCTTGTCTTACCTCTATCCAAATAAAATAAATCTTTGTACTTTTTTAGATTTGTCTTATTAACACTATTCCTGGATTTAATCTAACAGATTATAAATTGGCTTCTACTCACACCATGGGAATATCTTTTCTGTAATCTCTGGGTGTTCAAATTTCAGAGGGCAAATGTTGGGAACCATTAAGGGTAGGAATTAGATTTATCAGAAATGTCTATTAATCTTGCTTTAACTCCAACTTCTTTTTTTATTCACACCTCATAAAACTCACTTTACTGCCTTTTGAATAATGTTGAAATATACAGAAACCCACTGATCTTCATCTCTTTAGCTAGCATGCATACAATTTCTTTGAAAGTTTATACCTACATACAGAAGAGAAAATGCATCTTGAACTATTCTGAACTGTTCTGATTCAACTGACACTGCTTTTCTGTCCATAATTTCATATCTTTTTAGCACAGACCTTTCTGTCACCTGGTACAAAAGCTGAACAAATTGAAAAAATAATAAAAACCGAACAATAAAAGGAAGGGAGAAATTCTATAGAAGTCAGAATAAATACACCTACTTATGTAAATGTCCTACTTATAATGGACATTGTCTGCTTTTACTTTCCAATACACTTTGCATGAATGTTGGAAAAGCAAAAACAGACAAAATATTAATCAATATTATACATGCAACATGGCTCTTACTAAAATAACAGCAGGATAAGGTTCTTGGATTTAAATCTGCAATGCATGCAAATTTCGTTATAAAAGAAAAATAACAGTACTGAAAAACTGCATTACCTTCATCTGTTACTAGGCAGCAGTATTTGAGGAATAAAAAGAAACACATTAAGCAATGTAATGGACTACTCAAAAATAGTAAATAGTTCCTTTGAGTATTTAGCCTTTATTATTTATTATACCTTGTTTAAAAGTTTGCCGAAGTAGCAAAGGTTCCAAGGAAGGATCTATCTCTTCTCCAACATTTTCAAGCAGAAGAGGAGTTCCAAACTGAATGCAATTTTCTAGAGTTCTCATGTAGTCTGAATCAGTAAATTTTATGACACTCAGTCTGTTCTCTTTCTCAGAATGTTTTATCCATTTATTTGCTTGACCTTGGGGATCAATCATTAATGGCCTACAAAATAGCATCAAACCTATTAACATAACATTAATTTTATGCATAAATTATTAATAATTTTAATAATTTCAGTTTAAAAATTCAAAAAATTTTTAGTTTTGTGTTGTAAAAATGTTAATAATAAACTGACTGAAAATTGTTAGAAAGATGTCAACAATAATCAGTGAATTTCACAAAATAATGAATTCTGATATCACTGAATCAATAATCAAGGATTATACTTTATCCATTATTTATATTTAAATACTATTAAATAGTATAGTATACTTTCATTATAGTTTTAAAAATTACTTTACTTAGCACTGCAGATTTACCACCTCAGGCAGCTATTTCTTTTTGGATATGTAAATATGCCTTCAAGTCAGTCTTGATTCTTGGCAACTACTTGAATGAGTGTCTCTGCAGTTTTCATGCCTAAGAGAAGACTAGAACTAGTCTCCTGATTTTCATCTAGTCAGTGCCTTAACCACAACACCAAACTAGCTCTCATTTATCATTTTCTTTCCATCCTTCCGAGGTAGGTAAAATGAGGACCAGACTTTTGGGGGCAATATGCTGACTCTGTAAACCGCTTAGAGAGGGCTTTAAAGCACTGTGAAGAAATATATAAGTCTAAGTGCTATTTCTATTTTACATCCAAGAAAATGCTCCCTATCCTGAAGGAGTAGTTAAAATTGTATGTACATAAGTATGTATTTGCAAGTAACTATGTATATATCGTTCTCTATCTCCTTCAACTGACTTAAGGATAATTTGGTGGGCATAAAATATTAAATAATCAACAATACATATAGAAAAGAGGAAAAAAAATATAACCAGAGGTTTAAAACTATCAATATGAATGCTTCAATAGCCTAATGTTAGTTACCTACCAACGTCTAGAATTGTCAACAATCACACCATTATCTATGGAAAACTGATCTGTTGGAAGACCTGCAATATTCCAGGCTCTGATTTTTATTGGATCGCCAAGGGTCTTACTTAGAGAGAAGTTTTCAGAACAAGGAATATTTTTCACCTGTGGGCACAGATAAAGCTTGTAATGACATTCATTGTTATCAAGCATGTGTACATAGAATATTAAAATAGGTCATGTTGATCTAATCTCATTTTTGAGTAAGAGTCAAGAGAAATTAAATAGGAAAGGTTAATAGGCAATACCAGGAAAAGTTCCTATACTTAAAGCAAGATTTAGAAATCATTTCACTTTTAGTCTTTTCTATACTACTTTAAATGCAGATTTAGCTATCGTTTCCATTATGATGTACAATATTAAAAACCATAATGCATGTTAAAATTATTTTCATCATGCTAATAACAAGATATATAAGATCTATTTCTATTTTGACAGAGTCATTATTATAAGAAGACTATGTGTGTTCTAGAAATAAAGCAATAAACGAATACTACCTTACAGAGTTTGCTCCAATCTTTAGTACATTCTTGTCGAAATCCAGCAGTAAAAGCACCAAGGTAAGCTATCACCCCTGCTGATACCAGAACATCTCCTGTCAAATTATCATAAGTGTTCTGGAGATCATCTGCAGCATGAGACCATCTAAGGAAGAAAAGGTGAGCAGATTAGCCAAAATGACATATTGACTAGTTCATTTTTATTTCATGTTATATCAGAGTTGTTAAAATTAATTATGTGTGTGGGAAAGAGCTATCAGGAAAAGGACATGTTTATGTTTCCTTTGCAGAAGGAATGTTATTATTTTATAGATTTTATATGTAAACCACTGAGAGTCTGTCTGGAGTATACAAACAATAAATAATACAATTAGAGCTCAAAATAAACCTTTTATTATGTAGATATTAAGACATGAAAATAGCCTCATGCAGCAGCAAAGAATCAACGTAAAACAATTTGTCAATAACTTGTAACTTTTTAGGTTGTAAAAAAGTAAAAATAGTAGTAAATAGTATGTAAACTCTTTAATACTGTTTACATTTAAATATCAC